CGAGCCCCCCAATTCAATTGTATATGTCCTCTCTACATAATTATAGGTGTACTTAGAAGGGGTATACATAGATACAATTAAATTGGAAAGTGCTGGAGTGTAGGGGCAGTTAGTGTTAGAGGTTGGGGTAAATAAGAAACTCTTCAATATCACTATATGCAATTGTAGCATAACGATGTACAAGTTACTTACTGTTTGATATTTAAATCTTATTTAATTCTACTTGATATTGGTATCATTATATCACTTATTAACCTTCTTTTTTATACCGCAATATAAATAGAAGTACAGGTATTATTGCAGGTTCACATTTTATTAATAGTCATGTTACTGTAAAATACTTTATTTTCGCTTGGAATTAATTTTCGCTATTTTCACTGAAGAAATGATTCAGTGAAAATAAAATCCAGTGAATATACTTTTTTTCCTATATCTTACCTTCAACTTGTCAAAAATCAGTGAAAATAAATTCCATACAAAAGACCCAAAAAGTCATTTCAGCAAAAATAAATTCCATCGAAAATAAAGTCTTTTACAGTATTTGTTGAGATGTGAACTGTGTGGTAATCACATCCATCTTTAGCAATCACTCTAAAGTTTATATTCTACATGAGAATGTATGTCTTCTATAAATATTACCCAGGGACATCTAAATGCTCAACTTTTAAATTTCACCACAAGGCGTTGATTTGTTCATGTAACTTTATTGTGAGGACAACATTTCACGAATGTCATGTCCTGCTGTTTTAAAAACTTTTACTAGTTGGGTGAAATGTTCACCAAATTTTGCAATTGTCCTTGCTTAACATAATTACTATAAAGAGGTTTACCGGTACTATATTTTCAATTGCTCATAGACTACTCATTTAACATCATTATTGGACTACATGTGGAGTGACTTCACAAATAAACATGCATGCAATATGCACTTGTAAACACATATGAAATTTGACTCAGATTTCATCCAATTAGCAGCTTGATTAAAATTAACTAGTCAAAGATTATTATCAGAATCATGATGCGTGAGTTGTTGCCACCAACTTATAATGAAATAGATGAAGGTTGAAATACGAGACGATTGTAATGAATTTCTTTTTTTTTTGCAAGCTCTTGAGTGAGTTGAGCTGTAAGCAGTATCATGAAATGTTGTACCTTTCACTAAATTTCATTCTCACATTTCACATTTCACATTTCATTCTGTGGGGTAAATTCAATGGTAAATTCCCTCCAAGTCCAAGACTTGTAAACTCGGATGATATTCACTGTTCGATAACCCCTAACCCTAACACCTGGTCTACGGTTGTCAATCATTGATGTGAACCAATCAATAACCAACTTTATGAAATAAGTCCCTGTATGCTTGCATTTAGAGGATTAAGTTTGTTCTGTTACAATGTAGTATTAGAAAACAGTATATTACAAATATCCAGAAAATCTTGTAGGCGAAATTTTGTTGTGTGAATCTAAAATTTATAGAATTAATTAATTAATTTGATGCGTTCCTTTTTGTAAGAATTGCTCACTAATACTAGGAGCTGAAAATTGCAATAAAATTAATAAATTATGTCAAACTAATAAGTACTTATTAATCATTAAAATTCATAATTTTATTAAATTTGTATTTAATTATTTATTAATTTATCATCCGTGGGTTATAGTTTTTTTTAAAAGTTTGATCTGTTTTTATTTTACAAAAACTTAGCAGTTTGGTATGCCTACAAATCTTAATAGGTTGGAGACAGAATCAATTAAGGTTATACTTGTAGCATGTTAACCTGTTGACCTACATTTAATCGCTGCTGTGTGTATTCACATTCTCATCGTTATCAGTATTCTGCCTGTCTCTATGTCTGACTATTTTATCTGCTTCGACTAGCTGAACAAAAAATACTTTTTGTAAAATTAGTCGTAATAATTATTCCTGTAGTATAAAGCTTACTGGGTTGAAATTTTTTAATTTAATATCCACTGATTAGTGAAATCTATTAAAATAATTTGATGTGAATAAGTAAAATTGAACTTTTGTTTTCCTAGCATATGTGTGAAATTAAAACCTAGTGAATATTCTCAAAATACTGTAAAATGACAAATTTTCGCTGGGTTTAAATTTCGCTGATTTGCCATTTTGATTTGATTTTAAATTCACGGTTTTATCATTTACCGGTAAATAATGTTTCCTATGCTAAATTTTACATATTCACTGGGTTTTAATTGAGCGCATTTTCCAGTCAGCGAAATAAGCAAAATTAAAACCCAGTGAATAATTAACACTTTTACAGTAGTGAAATTAAAAACCGGTGAAAATAAATGTTTTTACAGTATGCTATTAGTTGTTACAGTTTAATAATTTGACTGTAGTGATAGAAAACTTTGTGATCGCCTTGATTCTAGTGAAATGATTACTACCATGTTTCCATGAATTACGAAAGCTAATATCTCAGCAAATTTGCTTCTTATTTGCATTCGCTCAAAAGGTCAGTTTTGATTGGTTTACATCCATAATTGACAATTGTACACATGGATTTATGGTGAGGAGATTTGTTTCTTTAGAGTATACCGTAAAATCTGTATTCAAAACCGCATCCCTTAATAGCAGTCACACCTATTCTTTTTTAATAATTGAAATTAAAAAAATCACAATTTCTCATATGTTTAGATGCTCTAATAGAAGCCGCTCCCCTCTGTTGCATGGTACCATTTTAATAGAAGCCGCGGCTTTACTACAGATTTTATAGTACTCGTATAATATTTACAAAATAACAATTCTATATTAATATTTTATTGAATTGTCTTACGGAGCAGTGAATCTTGACAAGTTGTATTTTTGGGATTATTAATTGTACAATTCTGTCCTCGTTTGACTTTGTTATGTTCTTGACTGTATGACATCACTGTGTCGAAGGTATCCTCGTACAGGATTGGGTAAGAAGTAGTCGGTTGCTCGCTTTGATAGATTGTGAGGAAGATAAAGCGTAAGTACCGGAATTGTACATCAGTTTATTTTCCATGTGAATAGTTGCAGACGTCACTGTTAAAAATAGTGAACTGAGTCAATGTCACTTTTAAACTAAAATCTATGTGAACATAGCGCCCTCTATCAGGCATGTTTGTCTGTTATACATGTACTAGTAGTATTTGCTATATGATGATATTTAAAAAAAGCAAATGATCTGGAAAACAAGTATAGTAAATTTTTCGTAAAAAAAACAAACAAAACAGCTAATAAAAGTGAACATTTAAAATAAAACTCAGCAAAAAATAAATATTTTTTTCAACTCCTTTTAGCAAATCTTAAATATCAGATATTCTTTTGCTTGAAAAATAATTTTTGGGCGGAGAATTCATACTTGGTAAATCATTCTGTGTTCATTTTCTTTTCGTTTCTTTCTCAGCTTATTCATTTACACATGTAACAAAACGCCTGTCATTTGTGCCGATGATATCACATTAGAAGCAGCCCTCCCGATCAAAGGCGATTTTATTTGTAACATCGGTGAGTATGAACTTTGACCTACTAACCTTATCTGAGTGACTACATGTAACTTATAATGAAAACAGATATTTTTTATTTAAGTATTCAAGCTTCGGTTAGTGTTTAGCTCAGTTTTGGTCTTATTTTGACAAAAATTGTTGTGTAAAGGCTCAGAACATTGCCACACTTATTGAATTAACTCAATATCACGTGGTCACTCATTGAAGATCCCCCTAACTATTTTATTTTTGCAAAATTCTGGGGTAATTATAAAATAATTTAACAATAACAATTTTATTGAGGTCAAGGTGATGAATGCACGTAAAACATCAAACCATAACAATTGTGTGCACAGTACTAGTATTACATTTCTTTTCTCAGTCACCAGAGGGCATACATCATTCACATTTGTCTTATTTTATATATTTTCTCAAAATAAAGTACCTGTATACAAATTTTGAGTATTTATGTTATATTATAAAAACTACTTTTTTGTTTTGAACTTTGTCCATTAAATATTGTAATTCTACACTCATCATCTTAACCTTATATTGATATTGGTCATACTGTTAGGAATGGCCTGAATGCACGGGACATGAAAGCATAAAAGGCGGGTGTTCATCGCGAATAAATCCTAAGGGGAATACATTGCAATTAACTTTGTGTGTAAATACAGTGTTGATGCTGCTCTATGATGATGAAATCTCAATCACAGACGAATCTACAAAAATGATTTGTAATATGGCACGTACTACTTCCTACATCAATCTGATAATACGACCGATCGCCACAGATTGTTGACATTATTGTTTCTCCTCCAATATTTCTAGAATCAGAGTCATCAATGGCATTACCCGGTGCCGATGTACCTGTTAGGATTACGACTAACGAGACAGACGTTTTGTTCGAATTGCCATTTGGTTCTAAGACAAGTCATTTCTTCAGTCAAATCAAACAAGCTATAGGAAGTAAGTAACAAACACATTTTTGTGTTTGACCTTTCACCTTTTGTAGAATATTACACATTACATTATTTAGAATAACGTACTTGCTGT